CCATAGTGATATCGTTCCCGTTTTCAGTTCCTGTCAACTTTCCCGTCGATAACCCTGTTACTTTTGCATATGGATTCGCCAACACTTTGCCAAGTCCAATCTATGAGGTTGGGTTTTTTTGATTCATAAAAAAACTTAAAGTGCTTGAAAAAGCAAAAATTCTACGTAAGCCATGCAGGTAATGTGAAACAGCGCAAGTCCTGTCCTACTTCAGCTCAAAAATACCCAGGCGAAACTCAATTTTCTCGAACGTTCGTATTCATTCATGCCGCTGATTGTAGTTATGGCAGAAACTTGCATCATGCTACATTTACCCTGTATTTCGGAAAACGAGAAGAGCGTCGAGTGCAGACCACACACCACAAGTTACGACGGCCAGAAAAGTGATAGGAATAAGCTTTTCACCTTGGCTGTCGTCCCTTGTGGTGTAGGTCTGCATTCGACGCTCATCTCGTTATCCGCAATAGAGGGTATTTAAGTATGGGGTATGGATAGGACTAGATGATCATAAGGAGGGCTTTTGACACTACTAGGGTCCAGAATGCTTCACAAGGAGCAATCAAGGATGTTAGGTGCAACAGGGGCCACTGCAAGTTATCAAGCAAATGAATGAAGAAATTCTGAATGTCGCATAGGTGAAAGTGTAGGGTAAAAGTTAGGTCAAGTAAAGGTAAAAGTATTACGGTGATTTGCTTGACGTCGTCATCTGTTGTGATACGCCAAGACTTCAACTTTCCTGTAGAATCGTGACGGCTTTTGAAAGTGCAGTAGGCAGGATTCACTCTGCTATACAATTCCCGGCGCTATCACAAGCGTCCTCTGGGATTAAACCTGGTAGCGACAGGAACTTCGGGCTAAAATGAAAACTGCTTATGCACGCTGAAGTCTCTCTTTACCCCACCCTCCCACCCCCCCCCCTTTGAAGCCTAGTAATTTTGTCGTGCAATAGCCCAGCATCCATGCCATGGCTGTTGTATTGACACATTTCTCACTTTCCCACCTCGCTCCCTTACTGAAGGAAGTTGAAGGACAAATGAAAATTATAGTCGCTGCTACGGGTTTTCAGTTGAGTAACAATGAAAAAAATTCAAAGGCTAATTTTTTGGAATTTCACCCATAACAACTGATGTTTTCGCTGTAGACGTTTTATGTGAATACGATGAGTGAAGTGGCGAACTCGTTCGGATACTTTGGAGTGGTGAGATTCGAGGTGCTCAATGAATCGACCGTCGCCTATCATTCGGAGAAGGACATTTCGTGAGTTCTCACTTGTAAACCCAATTGAAGTAGAAAAGGTTTCCAATTGCGTGGTATTTCCAGGAGCTTCCGCAGCGCCGTTTATAATCAGTATGGTTATGGAGCTATACCTGGAACTCCACTGAGTACGGATTCTCAGGTTTTGGAAGCGCTGACAGTAAGTTCTCCTTATCTATTACTATCTCTGGATCTCAATCGAATTTTTGAGCTGAAAGTGATGCCAGTGATCTGCGGGGAATAGTAGTGACAAGGAGTTATGGCACTACAGAGGACGGACGGTAGAAAGGGCAATTAGTTTGCTCAGAAGGGTCGCGAGCGAAGTTGCGAATACCGTGAAGTTGGTCGAGTTGTACGGACTGAGACTTCCCTCACTTCGTCGGTGCTTGCGGTTATGGTTGTTACTGACCAAGTTAGTCATGCTGAAGGAGCGCGGCATGTGGATAGGGGCAATTTGGCGCTTTTGGGCTCGCTCGAGAGAAAAGGGCTCCAAAATTCCTCATTTCCATTAACACGTTGACGACATCGCGCGTTTTGGGTTTTTGCACCGCGTGGGACCACGGCGATTTTGCAGGCGCCGCCGCCTCACATCAAATCCGTGAATTTTGAGCTTTAAATACGCAAAACTCGGATGCAACAAAATGTTTAGAATGATATTCGATGTGTCAAACTTATCAGAAGGGACAACTGTAAAAAAATCGATCGAATTGACGTTTCAGTTTCCGCACATAGACACCCCTTTTCGACACGACCCTCAACTACGTCCTCACCAGAACTCGCGGATACGACCTCCTCCTCCTCCCACCCTAAGGAACCGCACAGCGAATGGTTGACCCCATCTTCCGAGTAGGATAAGTTGTCAATTTTTGCAATATTTTCAGAGCGTCGCCAGTTCGAACAAAGTGTATGAAAATTCTCTAATTGTCTTCTGTCTTGATAAACTACCGAGAAGTCCTTCATATCGACAGTACGCCACATTGGTCAGCAAGAATGTAAAGGTAAATAATGCATCGTGTAGAATTTTGAGTTCGGAAAGAATAATTGGTAGAATATTGATCTAGACAAAACCCTTCTTCGCTACACACGTTTCCTCCGAAATGGAGTAGTTTTTGGAAAGAGTCGACAAGGGAGGTCGTTCAGGGTGTGCCAAGCTTTTTTTCAAAATGGTTTCTTGCATGACATAGGGGCACATGCGGGAACCACAGAACCATGGTTCATTTTTCCTGAACGGCCCTCTGAATACCAGAAAAGGGGTCCCTAGTTCGATTCCTCGTGGTGACAAATTTTTGCATTTCGAGTTGACGTTTCAAAATTCGCGCAAAATGGAGTTAGCATGAATAATTAGTACCATATTCATGATTAGGACCGTCAGTAACCCTTACAAATAGACTTTGATTAAAAACTGGTGAAAAGGTGTGACACACAGTGGGGCCGTTTTGGTGTCACACCTTTTTCACCAGTTTTTTAATCAAAGTCTTTTTGTAAGGGTTACTGACGGTCCTAATCATGAATATGGTACTAATTATTCATGCTAACTCCATTTTGCGCGAATTTTGAAACGTCAACTCGAAATGCAAAAATTTGTCACCACGAGGAATCGAACTAGGGACCCCTTTTCTGGTATTCAGAGGGCCGTTCAGGAAAAAATGAACCATGGTTCTGTGGTCCCCATATGTGCCCCAATGTCATGCAAGAAACCATTTTGAAAAAGCTGGCACACCCTGAACGACCTCCCTTATAAAGGCACGTGCCCCTATAAAAATTTCTAAGTTCTAAGTTTTTACTCAAACCTAACAATATTGATTTGGAAAATCACAAATTCAGCATTTTTTGCTATTACAAATACTTGGTAATCCTTAATGATAACTACTGATCTTTAATAATACTTTTCAATCCATCATTTCAGTGCTATAGGGTAGAAAGCTTAATCAGCGTGATTCGATCCTGTGACCATACATATGAGCATTAGCGGCGCCTGTTGCTGCCACACCATTTCCATTGTAATTTTTGTACAACTCCTCTCCATAAATCGAGCTATTTCGCTTACTTATTGGCCCGTTTGGGGTTTCTGTAGATTAGTTATATGAGCTTTTTCAAAGATTGCTCTATGCAACAGCTGTAAAAACATTCTTTATGACTTTGTATAGAGCCCGATGGCTAGTTGCCATTGGTCTTTCATTTACTCGCATGATTTTGTTCTACACATTACTCGACGCTATCACAAGGTACGGAGGCATCCTCTGAGACTAAGTCCAGTAGCAAGCAAGACCTCGGGAAAATTAAAATTGCTCAGGCGCGTAGGAGGTTGTCTTAGCCTTCCTAAGACTTGGTTTCTATGTATAGCGAAAAACAAATGTTTGCCGCGGTTTGAGATGTGTCGCCGCCAAGATGCCCCCGTATCTTGCGATAGCGTTCTTTTCTGTAATTACGTTTTTAGACCGTGTTCCTGATAGACAAGGCATCGCTAACTCGAGAGCTCAACCTCATGCGGTCACCGGTGCCTTTGAACGAAATTGCCGCTGCCACTAACGGACACCTGATTGTTAGTGATCAACGAATACTACGGATTTCCAAAAGGTAATAGAATTGTACTTAGGATATATTACTTGTTTAGAGTGTGCTTTACATTTATTGTCCGGTCAAGGCTCTTTTTCAAAATTTTGAGGTGGGAGACTCAAACAATTGATTGAAAGCAAAGTCCGGGATCAAGCTGATGTATTACTGCGCTTAAATGTGACAATGGAGATGTGTAGGGTAACGCCAAAGACGAAAAAAGTGGAAGATACCGTCGACAAGGACGAAAATCAAGTCCTCCCCAGTAACGAAGAAACGAAATGGCATTAATCTTGGGGGGGGGGGGTGTATGGTGGTGGGTGGAGCACATGGTGTCCTCGGCCCTTGAGCGTCGGCCTTGTTAAGTAGCGGCGCCAAGTTGAGTACATGCTCTGTATTTCATTCTAAATTCCTCGGCCAAGAGCATCATTGGGTCTAGAATAATTGGACTTCCATTAATTCATTCCCCGTCTCGCGCAACCTCTAAAACGCAAAGTAAACATATACCGACTGTTCTTTTTTCCCTTTTTGACGTCGTAGATGATCTTTTCTTACGTAATAGTCTACTAAATGGCGTCCGTAATTTTATAATGTCTGAGTTAATGTCGTTTCAGCTCATGAAACTGATTTACACCAATGGACCTTCGCAGTCTTTATTACTTTGCACGAAGTCTACAATACAAGGCGACAGTGAGCGATCTGGGCGTTTTGGACATCAGTGAGAGCTTGCAGGTGACGATCACGGCATCGACATCCATCTACGGTAAGAAGAATGGCTTAAGCCTATAAGTGTTTAAGGCTCTTTTGAGATAAGTTCGTGGCTTCAAAACCCCTATGGGTGGAGCTGGTGTAGTGTTAGATGACGCGAGAGTCTAGCGAACACTAGCGCCCCGCCATCACAAATTCGAATATCAACATCAATAAATCACTATCAATATCACTTCACACACTTCAGCTCACCCCACAAATTCCTTGATCTCTTTCATAATTGCCATCGATAGCGGCGGAGGGGGCGATGCTGGGTCAGGTAGGGGAAAAATATGTACATCTTTAAGCAAGTATTATAGTTCAGCAAATTCTATACATCTTGCGCATTTCAGCACATTCTGCCCCGATAACCACTGAAAGTCTCCGAAAACGATCTTCCCTAATAAACCCCAAAAACCAAAAACGATCTTCCCTTAAAAAAACGACTAGGATCCTCCACTCAAAATATACTATTTACGAAACCCCTCAGAGAAAAACCCAACGGACCCTGTTTGCGAATTTTGTGCCTAATCAATGTTTCTTATTCAGAGGCTGCTGATCTGAAGAATACGGACATGAAGGTCACATTCAAAAGCTCTACTCAAGAAGTCGTTGTACCGCTGGATTATACTGTAAGGTTTTCGAAGATTTCACATAAACTATAGTCGGATTTCTTACCCGCGCTTGTCCCAGGTACAAGATCGAATCTGACGAGCCCTCCCGTAGTTTTTTGATTGAGTAGAAGAATAAAACTCACTGAATCAATTGATAATCAGTTAGATATAATTGATTGTTAGATATAATTGATTGAGAAGCTGTATTTAAATGTAGATTGTGTATGTACGGTTTTTCTCTCATTGAACACTACACCTACCGCAATGCTGCGTGTGCAGTCAATGAAACCAAGAAAAGTGCCACGAAAGTTATAACTCATAAAGTATGTACAAACACCACTACGGAAAATCTATGTTGCGCTGGAGTTAACTGATAACCTTCTCGGCACCGCCCATTGCCGTGCATACCACACCCACCATGAGAGGGTTGTGCCTAATTCGTACTTTTTATGGACATCTTCACCTCTGTATTCAATTTGAAAGCTGGCAGTACACCTACTAGGCCAGACATTTCCAGAGCCTAGAATACGTTCAGGCTCTGTGCTTTCCATTTGTCTCTCAGTCAAAGTCTCTAAACACAATAATATAATATTTATAGCTTCCTAGCTTAGGTGACATTTAGAAAAACCTAAGGAACTATTTGCAAGTTTTGAACATCGGACATCGGTAGAGCATGGCTGAAGTGTCCATAAGAGCATGAACGTCTCGCCATTTGAATGCATCGCCCCTCTCAATGTGGGCGTGGCATGCATTGAAATAGGCGGTGCAGAGAAAAGTTCCAGTTCGACTCTAGCACAACACAGATGCCAGAAGAGATGGGTAAATGTGGAGCGGTAAAACCTACGCAAAGTAAGCGAGGCCTTCAGTAATGCCCCGTTGTTGTGTTAGGAACCTGACGCCTTAAAATTCCTCCGTGGGATTCTTCTTCGTTTCACTCAGAACTTTCAAATAAGGCTCACTATTTAGTGAATATATCGATTTTCAGGAGAATTCCAATTTCTTCACGGGTACTGTGACTTTGCAACCGGACCAGTTCAATGTGAAATTGAACATGACATATGATGTCGGGAAAGACGTTCATATAAGGATGTGGATACCTAGGTAATGTTTATTTATTTGTTTATTCACTCGCACTTGAGATGTACAACCAATACAACTGAGGTGAAAAACTGTTTTACTGCAGTGTTCCGTGGCGTTGTAGGGCCACCATCCCTGATCTGTGACACGTTTTGAATAATGTCATCTAGGCTCCGAAATGGGTGCAGTAGAAGCAAAAGCTGATGAAAAAAACGACTGCGGTCGGTAGCTAAAGCAGAATGCTCAGCATGTGTTGGAAATCTATTAATTGATATACCCACTCTGAAATTCTCTTTCGGGAGCCTACTAACTTGCGAGATTCATAACATTCAAGTCAGTCATTCCGCATGGGAACTCATACTTGAAAACTTGAGTTCAGCCAGGAGTGAGCCCTCAATTGTACCAAGTTCAACGAGGGGCGGGGTCGTATTCGAGGTTCACTGATCGACCTTCCGTACTGTTGATTCGATGTGGACGAATGATCCTAACTCTGCTGCTCAGTGTGACTAGGGAAGCTCACTTTTCATAAACACCCTTTCTTTATATTTTCAGAACGGACCGAAAGCTGAAAGTCAGATACGCAGACATAGACATGAACCACTCCCCACAGGACCAGATACAGGTTTTGTTCTCACATTTAAAGGCACACTCCATGTTCCGTGCAGGTGTAATCCGTACAAAAATTAAAAGATGCGAAGGGAATTGGGAGCTAGGAGAAACTGCAAGTGAAACGTTAGGTAGACCTAGAATTGAACCCCCATCTTTATCAGCACTATGCGAGCTCAAGGGCAGTGGGCACGATGGCTAAAGAGTGGAGCGATTCGATTACATGTTTCTGTTTCATCAGTAGACCAGTCTCTCTCAGCACACTGGGCGAGTGATTGGAGCCACCTCCCAACTTTATACTACCAATCACGCTAAGACGTCACCAATTCGCCGCCCTCCAACCATTGTGTTCACTACCATATGGGGGAAGGGCGTGTGTGGACGAGTTCTCCTGATTGGCTTCATGCCTCCGATCGTAATTCAATCCGAGTGCGGCCGTTAATTCAGCTCAGCCAGCCGTTACAACTGGAAGCATTATTACCAAGAATAGCCCCTGTGTTGTGAGCGAAACGCTTTACAACACTCTGAACAAACTCAACACTTCTTTTCGCTTAACAGCTATCTAGCGACACTTGTGGTGGGCGCACATTGATGTGGGGAACTTAGAGCCTCTCTCGCCTTTTCCACAGCTTTTGAATTCCCGAAATTGGGCTGACTTCTGCGACTGTGGGCTCTGCCGATCCCAGTCACTGCAGCGACTGCACTTTTCGCAGTAATAAATATTTGCTTTCAAGGCTTCCTTGCAAAATTGTGTGATCACATAATCGTTTGGTAGTTGTCGATTATGAAGCGACCAGTCATTACTGAATACTTCAACCGTCCAATAATTCATCGTTGCCTTCAGTGAATGGCGCAGCAGTTCGAGCTACTATTTTCGGTGGCACTCCAGGAGCTAATGTAAGTTCATTTCTTACTGTCATTGAAAATATTTGAAATTAAATTAGGTTAGAATCAGTTCACCCAGCCTTCACTCAAAAAAGTAAATGGTATGAACTTCAAAGCTTTAAATGTGCAATACATGGTTCTCTAGGGGTAGTAACTAACTACCCACCACTTCACATTCTGACATTTTCTTCCTCGTAGTCTATTCATTCGTGGAGTCCTTGATTGGTAGAGACGCACAAGGTGGGGAATCCATTCCCGGCCAAACCGATGCTGCGCGTGCAGCCTCTGGTCTACGGACCACTGAATCCGGTCCTTCAGTTGCATCAATGTGCTGCCCTTGTCTGCGCTCTCTCCCCCGGATAACGTGCGTTTCATGACTGCTATTACTGCCCGCATCAACACTTTCGCCGAACGGTACGTGGCTTCTCCGCCCGAAGTACCCCCTTGCTGAGCACGGACTTGGCCCTTCACCCTCTCCTTCTAGCATCTCTCAAATAATTGACCCAAAACCTCCATTCGTCCTCCATTCTCCTTTTTACTAGCTCTCTTTCGCGGCGGGGAAGCTTTAGGAGGGTTCCTCCTAAAGATAAATCCCCCCACTTTTCTAGGCTCGGGTTAAGGTACCCGCTAAATATTATCATTGCGAAAATGCGCTAACGTGCAGCACCTTGTATATATCCCAGCCTGCGAATCACCTAAGGTCACACATTCCTCTTCAAAAATTGCTGGAAGCAAGTGTGACCATTCTAGCTGCATCACGTCACGTCTGATGCTTCTTTTCAGCTATCAATAGACATTCGGGACTGTGAAGGTGGTGAGGTCAAGCTGTACGATGCAAAGCAATGGCAACAAATGACAGATGCTGGTGACACCTTCTTTGTACCGTTTTTCTGTGCAGAGAACAGTACGACAACGGCTCAGTGTGCAGCTGGAACACAGAGCAAGTACCATGTTCAGGTGTGACTGACTGAAGTAGATGACTTATTTTGATATGTCTACTATATTGAATTTATTGGCTGTTGCAGTTCACGTCTTCTGATGGGCTCTCGGAGATGCGCTCGTTTGTATGCACCAAAAGTAGCAACGATTACGCAGCCAACTGCCGTCAAACGAACAGCAAGGGAGACTTCGAGTGCAGCCAAGCGCTCAAGCCATTTTACAGAGGTAGTCTACCATAGTAGATGTCATGGAAGATAATACTCACATTTGATTCGAATTGTCTACATGCCGGAATAGGGAATGCCATTTCCTTAAATGAAAATGAAGAAAAAATGGCAAGAATCAAGAAAGAGCTTCCAAGAAAGAGCTCGTCAACCATTGATTGTTGACGGGTGCTTGGTGTCAGTAAGCGATTAGAACGGTCCAACCCATTGATCATGAACAAATTGAAAGGCACCGCCC